TTAAACTCAGATTCACAGATGAGTTTCCTTTACTAAACTGCATCTGTAGGTCTCTGTTCATAAACATAAACTAGCCAAAACTAATTTACTATAAAATGAAATGTGTTTGTATAAATTCAGAATAAAGACACATCAGTCTCAACTGCATATGAGTACATATTTCTATATTGTGGTCTGTTTACACAAAGTTAGGTTAGAGTCAGGAGTTTCTTCCATCATTTATGTTGGAATAGACTCTCCCAAATTTTTTGTCGTTGAACTGTGTGGTTGCACTGAGTCAATATATCCAACAGGTCAAAACTAGCTCAAAACAAAGTGTGTGCTGTGCCCTGATTGGTGTTTGAAATGTAGTGGAGTGAAAGTAAAAAGTCGCCCAAAATAGAAAAAGTTCAGTAAAGTACAGATACATGAAAAAACTACTTAAATACAGTAATGAATTACATTTACTTCATTACTGTCCACCACTGAGTACAGCTACATGTGGGCTAACACTGTTGTGCTCTGAACTGACATCAGAAGACTAGAAATCCCACCAAAATTCCTCAGCAAGCTTCATCAAATGTGGTAGTTAAGTTGGTTTGTCAGTAGCAGCCAATGTGCAGTATGAGTAGCTGGTGATGTATAGAAGTGTGTATGTTTAATAGTAGACACACTTTCATGCAATGTCAATGTATGTGGCATTATTTGTGTTTTGACTGCTAAATGAACTCCTAATCCAGAGGATCCTGTGAGCTTCTGAGGAGAAATGTATGTTTGAAGTGTATCTCTTTGATGGCACCTTGATAGAAAATGCTATTCTTTTTCCCCATAGAGGCATCTGGGCTTGCCTTATGTGAACCCAGCTATATTGACATAACCGTGCCATAAAAGGTAATGACAGATGTCCTGTCCTATCATGAGTTGTCAAAACAGATTACGTCTAGTAATTTCACAGTCTAATGCTACCATTATTGTTAATTGTTATTACATATGACATAATGTTTGGTTTCATGATGGCTAAATAAAGCGCAGCAAAATTAATGTGATGAGCTGTCAATTACCAGTAATGATAACACGACACTGTGACCCTGTTTTACTACTGAACTAAATCTGACAAGTAAAATAAGACAAGTAATGACACTATATGACATCTTCCATGACATGTTTAAGGCATGGGTCATCAAAAGCTGCTTACACCTGGACCTGGAGTTCCTAATATGATGCTGAAAACTAAGGCCCAGTCCCATTTCACCCCTCGCCCCTACCACTGAGCCCTTAGCCCTCTGTTTTGAGCATTCACGTCTAGGGGTAGGGGGATTCTTGTTGAGATAGAGGGGTAGGGTGGTGTTCGGGCTTCAAACAGAGGTTTTTCAGAGACTCCAAACAGAGAGTTACGAGAAAAAAAAGAAAAATCGGCAAGATGGAGAACAAGAGACCAAACAAACCCACAAATGTGAGAATTTTCTCTGTTAAAATTACGATAACCATTTCATTTTATCTTAGTTTGATGTTGTTTCACTGCATTATGGTCATTTTCTTCATAACACGCTTATAGCATGCTAAAGTCTCGGTAGCTAGCTAGCTAACTTTCCCATTCCACCTTAAATAGTCCAGCAGTTCCTGACGACTGAAGCGCCAGAATGTAACTGGGGCACCATTTAAGGTGGAACAGGAAAATTCGAACAAGAATCTGGTGAATAGCTGACTTCAGCTTCATATCACTGAAGAATTAGGGGTGGGTGATAATAAATAATTGCCCCCCTCTTTGAAGATCAAATGATGCCCTAAATGTAACTAAAGCCCAGCAGTGAGGAGCTGAACTTTACCCTCCTCTGCTGTCACTGCAGACTGGCAGGGTCGCCTACAGAGCAGCGCTGGTAGCTGTTAATGAAGTGATGCTCTTTTTATTTGAGGGTCCCTAACTATACCTTTAATGTTCTGGGGTATGAGTATCCAGTCACAGCAGGGTTTGGTATTCCACCTCATTTAATGCACCTATTTGAACTCATTAGCTCATAACTAAAGCCTTCCTGACTTAAATTGAGAATTTTCTGAAAAAGGAAGACAGTTTAACGCTCCGGCTTCGTGAAGCATGGCATGCAAATTGGTTTTGGAAAAAAAATCTATTAACATACAAAACGAAGTAAATGCTTGGCAAAAAAACAAAGCACCGTTAAAGGAAAGACTGACATTTGCCTGAAGCTTGACTTGTGAAATACTATTATGTGCCTCTACATGTCTGCTGTACTTGTAAGAGCAGTGATACACTCTCACTCACGCACGCAAGAATGCGGGTCATTTTTCATGTGACTCTATCGAGGCACTCATATACTATAGAATGTCAAAATATGTGGACGTCTGCTTGATCAGGTTTCTTCTGACATCATATGTATTAATAGGGAGTTTGCTTTCCCTACAGCCTCTGCTCTTCTGGGAAGGCTTTACACTAAACGTTGGAACATTTCTGTGAGGATTTGATTGCATTCAACCACAAAAGTGTTAGTGAGGTCAGGTGCTGATGCTGAATGATTAGTTTGGGATCACCTAAGGTCACCATTGGGTGTGGTGACCTTAGGCTCATGTGCATGTCCCATTCTATTAGCAATGCTTCTCTCTGGTGTTTATACAAGCTGTAGGTGTGTCAGTGATTGGTGCCCCTTTAAAGTAGCTGAATTCAATTAAAAGGAGTGTCTGAATACTTTTGGACATACTATGTAGCATGATATTCAGCTGTAAGTCACTCTGAATTAGAACCTTTACAATAAATTAATAAATGCACAATAATTCAGTATTGAATGTTGTAACTGTCCGGATCACCAGCCTGCCACAGGTCGTTCAAATTTTCTTTCAGTGAATGGCGCCCTCTGGTGGATTTATGATTGCAACACGTGGTGTTTTTAATTTTCTCCACCTGTAAAGTAACCACAGAACGTGACATGTGCATGTTTTAAAATTTATTTTTTTCACAGAAGCTACAAGGATAACTTAGCTAAGTAGTGGCTTAGTAAAAACTGCCTGCTTAAATCATCAAAGCTGCCTCAGACTGTGTTAAAATGGAATTATGACTTTTCTAATTCCTTCATAATTCAGTCGTTGAAATGAAAACAGTCATTCAGAGAGCACAGATGTGAAATTGTAGAGAAATTTACTGACTCACATTTCTTTAGGAACCAGGGGTCACGATGTTGACAAGCAAAGAGCCATTTAATTAACTGTCCAAAACCACTAGTGAACCTACCCGAGTTTGTATATGTAATATTGAAGATGGCAAAATCATTTTAAACCTGAAAAAATTATTATTATTATTATTATTATTATTATTATTATTACTTTATTTTTAGGACTAATTTGCCTTACAACACCTTTATATACCTCTCTGCCGTGCAGGGCCAGCTCTAGCCTTTAGGGGGCCCTAAGCAGGATTTTTTGGGGCGCGCCCATTTTGCTGGCTGATGTACTGTAAAATTAAAGGCTCACTAATACAAGCTGTCCAATTTATATACATTTGGATTCTGTGGATTAATCACAGTTTGAGCATCTTAACCTGGATTAAACACAGTCTGAGTATCTAAATCTGGATTAATCACAGTCTGAGTATCTTAACTTGGATTAATCACAGTTTGAGTGTCTAAACCTGGATTAATCACAGTTTGAGCATCTTAACCTGGATTAAACACAGTCTGAGTATCTAAATCTGGATTAATCACTGTCTGAGTATTTTAACTTGGATTAATCACAGTTTGAGTGTCTAAACCTGGATTAATCACAGTTTGAGCATCTTAACCTGGATTAAACACAGTCTGAGTATCTAAATCTGGATTAATCACTGTCTGAGTATCTTAACTTGGATTAATCACAGTTTGAGTGTCTAAACCTGGATTAAACACAGTCTGAGTATCTAAACTTGGATTAAACACAGTCTGAGTATCTAAACTTGGATTAATCTCATTCTGAGTACTAAACCTGGATTAATCATAGCCTGAGTATCTTAACCTCGTGTAATCACAGCCTGAATAGGGGCCACCTGGTGGCTGCGGGGCCCTGAGCAACTGCTTATTTCGCTTATTAGGTAGAACCGGCATGCTGCCATGAATATATTTAAAAATATATATTTTAGGCCAAAAATCCTGTCTTAGAGAATATATTTGAAATATTTTCATGTACTCACTCTCCGTGAGGTAAACTACATTTTAGAGGCATTAGACTCTTCAGATGTCTGGTTCCTTTCAGCACCGCTGTGAACAGAATTCTGACTTGGTGAGCTTCTCCAGAATCTTAATGAGAGAATTATTCAGAATTTCGATGTTCTTTATTTATTACATTTATTACAGTTATACAGTTGTTAAGATGTTCATCTGGGTTCTTTTGTGACCTCCTGGATGAGTTGTTGATGCGCTTCCTGGGAAGGTTCACCACTGTTCCAGGTTTTCTCCATTTGTGGATATCGGCTCTCACTGTGGTTCTCTGGAGTCCCAGAGCCTCAGCAGTGGCTTTGTAACCCTTTCCAGACGGTAGATTTGACTTTGTTTCGTATCTGTATTTGAATCTCTTTAGAACGTGGCATCATGTGCCGCCAGACAGGCTCTATTAAAGTGATGTTTAGATTCAGCAGGTGTGGCAGTGATCATGTCTGGGTGTGGCTAATCATATTAAACCCAACAATCAACTGAATTTAGTGAACTGGTTGATTTATTGGAGGGGGAAATTACTTTTTCACATAGAACCGTGTAGGGCTGACCAACATTTTTCCTTCAATAAATGAAATCATTTTTAAAAAGCATCATTTTGTTTGCTTGGGTTTTCTTTGTCTAACGTTAAAAGCAGTTTGTTGATCTAAAATATTTAAAAAAGATAAATATGCAAAAAATAGAAGAAATTGGGATGGGGACAAATACTTATGAGTTTGACCAAATAAATGTTAATATTTATATAAAAGTTTATATTGTGTTAGGTATTGATGAGCTCTGTCACAATCCATAATATTTTTTTCAATATACAATTATTAGAGTCAAATGCACAAATGACATTTCAAGCCTTTTAATTCTTCCTGTTTTGAATCTTTATTCACATCAGGCAGCTGTGAAAAAGAGTTCATACTCAAAGGACAGAAAATAGAACAATTCATAATGTGAAATATGAAAAATGACTGAAAACAAACCACATAGCAGAAATCCTAAACATTCTTCTGTTTGTCCTATGCTGTAGTGCTTTTAAAAAGCACTAGGTGGCAGTAGATTCTTATACCAAAACGGCAGCTTGTCAGAGTAGAGGAGGTCATGCATGGTGGGCCGCAGGGCGAGTTAAATGTTGTGGAAGACGCATCCGGTGCAGGCGGCGTTGGCACAAATCTCACAGGGGTCTGGGGGAGTGATGATTTTGACTGTGAAACAGAAAAGCTCAACCTGAGCTACATCACCCACAGCAGAGGACAACATCAAAGCACCTGTCTGACAAAAAATGACTTTTTTATACTTTCACCATAGAGTCAGGCCAAGACACACATAGTGTCTGAAGTTGTCTCCTTTGTTTTGCAGCGGTGCTACAAAGCTAAGCTAACAGCACTGAAGGATAAAGCAGTACAAAAAAACATGTTACAGTGATGTGATGACTTTTTTCTGGAACAAAGTAATTTAACACAGCACAGCTTCATTTTGTGTGATCACATTACAGTTACTGACCGAATGAGAACTACATTGCTTGTGTTACTCACATCTCTAAAGTCCTTCTTGAGCTGAATTACATAGTGAAATTTGCTGTAAACTCCTTAAATACAGCAGGATACTGTGTTTTAGGAGAAACAAGTCAAGCTTCAAAGAACTGAAAATATCAGATTTTACAGTAATTAGCTTCGTAGTCTTGATGACTGATATAAGTGCCTGTAACGGCTGTAGTGTAATGTTCATGGTGTGACTGATAAACAGCACCATGCTGTTGTTAAAATAGTGCGATTATTCTCTTAAATTCAAGAATTTGCTATAAGAAGCTGGCCAGATAGATTTGTCATGTTTGTCTATATCTTTACACGTTATAATACATAATGTAGCATGTTGAGGGTCCTCATACAGCTGTGGGGTCACATCAGTGCACATATGCACTGTACAGTAATCCACTGTTGCAATTGTGTACTGTACTTTGAGTACTGTAAATAAACGGTAAATTTTAACATTTAAATTACGAAATGTTTTACAGTCTAGTTTTAGCAGAGGTGGTCTGGCAATGTCATTCGTAAGTGAGTGAACAGGCCAAATCATGCACTCTAAAAACAAATGAGTTAAAAAAAGACACTCTCTACTGTCTCTAACTAGACACATCAGTGCGTTCAGCTGGAGACGACACATTTTGGGTTACTTTTAACACGAAACGTCTTAATGTTTCTGTGTCCACTTAACAGGTAACACAAGTAAGTGTGTTGTTACTGACCACATCATTTTTTAGAGTGTATGAGGAAAAGCCTCTGTATAATTTCCCTAAATTACCCCAGACAGCCTGGATCCAAACATCATAGCTCAGATATGTACTTTATTCTCAGAACAAAGGTACTGAACTGTCCCTGTGGTGGTGCCTTTAAGGGTATTTCTTCATTACTTTTGGTTGGGGAACATAATTATACCACAATCTATTACAATTATATTTTAGATTGTATTGACTTCATTCATATTGTCTTCTCTCCAGGCTTTTTATTTTGTTGTTCTGTTTTTAAACATTAGCTAAGGAAAAGGTACAAACGTTCCTTTTCTTTGGGAAAAACGTGTGTGAGGTGCACCGTTGGACACCACTGTTGTACCGTTAAGGGTACATTTACAGTGTTTGTACCTTTTACACAAATGTGCACTTTTTCTGATCGTGTTAAGATTATAATTCAGTGTATCCAACTAAACAAAAACTTAACTTCCAGTTAATACCAGATAACTTTAGGCTAGTAAAGTGGGCTCTTTAACTCATTCACCACCCAACAGGACAGAAATCGTTCTGCCCTGTGAGAGATTTCTTTATTCATTCCGTTCTCCTTCTAATTAGCCCATCACCAAATATGTTGTAGATTACAGTAGTGCTGTTTTGAATTTGAGGATAAAGGAACTGTGCCAAGAGTTTTACGGTTAGCCTTCTCTCCCACTCGCCAAACAGCGGAGGTGCTGATGTCTATTAGCAGGATTTGTGATGACGTTACCATGAGGTTGATTTGAACAGGACTGCTGTTACTGAAGGAGCTCAGACTTGGATGAGTTACAGAAGGTAACAGATCTCACTTAAATTACAGCACCTCCCCACACTGTTAGAAATGAAGGTTCTGTTCAGGTACACTTTTCGTCCATCAAGGTACAAACAGTGTAAATGTTCCCTTAAAGGTTCAACAGTGGTTTTAAGGTCTGATTGTGAACCTTAAATAAGTGTTTCCAGGTGAAAAGTTTGTATTTGTACCTTTTCATAACCGAATGTTTTAAACAGAACAGTAAAATAAAAGCCTGGAGACGAGACGGGGTGTGTGGAGTCAGTACAGCTTAGAACATATCATTTCAGTGGATTATGGTTCAGTTATGTTCCCTGACTAAAGGTACTGAGATGACCCCTTGAGGGTTCCACCCCAGTGACAGGAGGGGAACTGACCCAGTGACAGTCTAGTACCTTTATTTCTGAGAGTGCAGGTAAAACTAATCCAGCTTGAATAGGGCTTAAGAGAACAACATTGATTTCGCAAGATGCAAATGTAAATATCCTCTGTGACTGTACTTATCCATAATTTGCATGTAAGTGCTGTAAACTTGGCCGACAATCTCTTCAGCCTAATATGAATCTAATAGATAAAGATCTGTAAACTTAACGTTTATTTATAAAGATTTTATTTCAAGGCTGCTGAACCGTTACTGCATATCTTCTCTGTCTTCAAACAGCATCAGACATTTGAAGTGTCTTCTTCAAAGGCAGCGATGGTGACAGGGCTTTTAAATTATGTCCCTTGTGCTTTTCAGTTGCTATAGATGTTAATGGATTTTACAATGAGATTTCAGTAACACTTTCTATGAATGTCACCTTTGTAAGCATCTATAATTTCTAACATGTTATAATGTATTCATAAGGCATTATAAGTGTGGTTATAAATATTTATAAAAAAGAATTACACTGAATTACACTTTATAGCCATGTTTATTAGACATTATGAATTGTTAATATAATGCATTATAAATAGTGTTAATAACATGTTATAATGTCAGTGCCAAAGAAGTCAGTCCCAGCTTGGAGAGCGTAAAGTAAAGACAAATACCAAGCTAACGGTGGTGAACATTACCTTTCCCACATTGGGTAAAACACTGATGCAGCTCTAGTTTAAACTCTGACATTTAAAGCCTGTAATGTGCTTTACTGTGAATGTTTTAGTGTTTCAGTAAATCCTTCAGTAAATACTTCAACTTGAAGCCTCACTCTGAACACTGGAGGAGGCTTTAGTACAGTACGCTTCACTTTACTTAGAGCGGACAAATACAACTTATGAGCTCTTATAACTTGTTATGATCAGTACTTATAATGTATTATGTTAGCAATTCATAATGCATAATAAACATGGCTATAACGTATAATGCATTTTTATAAATATTTATAGCTATGTTTATAATGTCTTATGAATGCATTGTAACATGTTATGAATGTGTTTATAGATGCTTACAAAGGTGACATTCATAGAAAGTGTTACCGAGGTTTCTTCTTCCAGGAACTAATTAGTAAAGTAGCCCCTTTACAGTTTGAGAGAAGTACTGTTTTCAGTAAGTTCCCCAGCACTGATAGCTAACAAGTAACAGAAGCTAATGTGATGCCAGTTAGCATGCTAACTACATGCAGATCATCACACACCTGCTGTAAAACATGTAAATTACAGTTATTGCATAATAACTAATAGACTTGCTTTGTGGTTTTTGACTGTACGACACACTGTAATCTAGAAAAAAGGCAATATTTGAAGTTGCACAGCTATTAACAGTAGCAGGAAACTTGAATTGTGTCCATGTGTTTCTACTGCTCAGGAAGAATTGGCTCCCAAAAGTAATCTGGATTAAGTCTTTAATCTGCGGTGCAACCCACAAGATTAACTCAGCAAAGCACACGTCAGGTAGGTTGTGCCAAACACTCAGAGAATATCCTGAACTGTAACCCATGACTAACATTTTCAGTGGGAGGCCCACATTAACATTTACAGCACTATTAATGAAGGGCAATTACTGCGTACCAGGCGCTTAACGTGTTTATTACCCTTTATCAGACCTTAAGTAAACTATTAATGAACGAATATTGATGAAGTTGTTGTTCTGTGCTGGTTTAAGAAGGAGGATGCAGGGCATGAATTTGTTGTCATATATCAGTGGGATGGTCTAGCAATGTTTTTTGATCAATTTATTATTAAATATTGCTGTTATATTGAATATCACAGCTGGGCTTACTATGTAAATCTCAATCTGTACTGAGTGTTTTTGTGCTTATAGATGTTATATGGCATGCCAGTGTCAGAGACCACATAAGGCTATTTGAGATTACTTAACCAATCAGTGTGGAGTGAGGCAACTGTGTGATGATTTAGGCATTGAGTTTACCCAATGCTAATGTGTAACTATAAACCATAAATGGGGACTTGAGTCACATGTTGACTTATGACACGACTCTAATTTGCCCTTAATCACTTAAATGGCCAGGGCCCACTGGCAGGCCCAAAGTCTTATTGCACGCTATATAAAACCTAAGAATTGATCAGCCAGTGTGCATTGAAGTCCCTGTTACTGAATAACAGCCTTGGTATGTATTTAAGTCTGGTATTTTAAGGGGTTAAACTACTGAAATTTGGCCTAAAAACACAAACAAAGCTGATTAAATCAGGACTACCTTTAATGTGGTAATGAATAAAAGCGTTAAGTCTCAACCTGACGTGTGTGGTTTTCAGGTTTGTTATGGTCATGCTCAGGCGTTACTGCAGTGCCGTTCTCCCGCAGCTCACAGCAGCACTACGTTCCATTCGGAACAAATAACGAGCCTTTCATTACAGGAAAACCTTCAGTCTGATGGACAGAATGAAGGGCTACATGCAGCGAATTAAAACACCTCAAATGTTGCAGAGCTGCCAACTCTCACACACACTAGCCACGTTTACATGCAGCCTAATAATCTGACTAATAGCTCAATCGGAATAGTTTAGTCTGATTGAGGCAATTCGGAATACAGTTGCTATCCAATTGATTGAGGTGGTTAATCCTGTAAATAATCTGTTAAATAGAAGAATAATATCCGTGTAAATGCCTGTATCTGATTACATTCCCTATCGGAAAGTTTAAGTCCGTTCTGATCATGTTTGTCACGTCATAGTGAGAGTTTATACCATTCAACATGGCGGAGCAGAAACTGGTCTGCAGAGGAGACGAAGTTTATGCTCTGATCTTTAAAAGACGGCGGTGGGACGGACGTCCAGCTTATGTGTCTCAGAACACGACGTCTTCCTCTCGGCCTTCTTTAATAAGGACATGTGAAGGACGTTTTCCTGAGTCTGACATCATTTTAAAGCAGTTAGAAACACAAGCGCTGCTCACTGCTGCTCATCTCACTCTGACTGGACTGGATGTTCGCTGTCATGTCAACGTTTACTCTAAGTGGTTCTCCACGCATGCGTGTCATTTTGGATCGGATTACTTGCAGTGAGCATGTAAACGAAGATTGATGAATAGAGTGAACACCTCAGTCTTAATCTGTAATCAGAATGCATTCAATCGGATTGACAAAAATCTCTACGTGTAAACACAGACACTGGCTGTGAGGCTCACTCGGTTAGATCTAACCTCACGGTTTTACGTCACGCTTGACATTTCTCACATATTTTTAAGTTTCTTCTCTAAAAGACTTACCGCTGAATCGATTTGAGCATCCATAAAGTTTAGTACTACTGCTTGATGCTACAGCTTCCACTGATTAAAAACACTCTGGACTGGCAATGGAGCTTTAATGCAACAGAGGGAGAGCAAGCTAACTAGTCGGTCACTGCTGACCATCCTGATCTTATTTCGATTGGTTTCCAGTCACAATTTCATAGATTTATATCATACATATTATAGCTGTCAATCAACAACTCTGGGAGGAACTTCAAAGAAAATACATAGATATGTACAGTCATGTGAAGAACACCACATTCATTTTTTTTTACATGTTTGGAGATACAGACATCTTCATGTAAACAAACATATATCCGATTCGTGGCCCTGTGACCTTAAAGTGACGCTCAGATCAGAATTCATGTGATTTTTTCCACTGCGCCTTCATTCAGCGTTACCATGGCAGCAGCACCGAACAGAAGTTAAAGCCTGTAAACGGTGGAAAAGCAGCTCATCTCACCTTTTTCTCCTTCGTCTCGCTCTAATAATGAAGCTGAGAGCTGATCAGAGTTAATTATCTTCACAGCGAAGCTCGTTCTGCTCCATAACGTCTAGCGAAATTCGAATGTGGGTGGAGGCCAAAGTCACATCCCCAGTGAAAACTACGTCTATGAATATTGGAAGTTTTCAGTGATGAGCTCAGCCTACGTGGACAGCGCAAGTTCCAGCAGACAGAATGAGGAGGGGTCAGTGATTACATATGTGCTGCTGCCGTCTAGCTATTGGGGTCCTGGAGTGGGTCTACGTGCCTTAGAGACTGTGGGAGAAATCAGCTCGGCCATTGATGAAGCCCCACAGCGCAGAGGAACAGTGCGGGAGTTAGATTACTCTCAGTGGAGCTCAGGGGTGGCAGTTAGCTTGGAAAAGGATTTATAGTACAGTGAGTGAGTCACACAAGTCAGCAAAGCGGGTTCAGGTAATGGAATGGAAACTTCTGACAGCATGAACCAAAAGCCTACAGAGCTAGTCATCCATTAAACTGAGAACAGTAATGTCCCCATCCTGTTACCTTGCTAGCTGATATCTGCCCAAGTGAAATCATCTTGTGTTTTATTTTATACAAGCTGTAATGTAAATTTACACTCACTGGCCACTTTATTAGAAACCTCACCCATAGCTGCACCTTGCTGGTGTATAGTTAAACACTACAGCCTATCAGTTAATGCAAATTAGATTATACTCAAGCTCTCTAGTTTCTGACCACAGAGCTGATCATGGCTGGATATTTTGGGTGGTTGACCACTCTCAACCCAACCCATCGGTGACAGTGATGTGCCTTATAAGCTTGTACCAATTACACATACGCTTCATATTACTACCATGTCACTGCTGTGCTAAGAACAATTTATTGCTCAAATAAAATCTGCTCTACATTGTTCCTGTTGCCAATTACGAACAGGGTAGAGAGTAGCTGACAGACTAAGCAGCAACATATGGTCAGTCTCTATCTGTACATCTAAACGGCGGAAGTACAAATTAAGTAGCCAGAGAGTACAAAGCAGGGGTTTATGATGAAGTGGACAGTGAGTGAACACTAATACATCCCCCAGATATCAAAGAAGCACAGATACCTAGATTTGAAAAGATCTTGTCACGATCATCTCTTTGGCACACTTCCTGGAACTCATTCGGCAATTCCGGGTTGGCACAGAGCGGCACTGGAGTGCTGTGAGTGAGCTGAGGGTCATTGCTTCCAGAAGCTTCCATCAGGTTCTTCAGAATCTTCACCGCTTGCAGTGAAAAACTGAACCCGCTGTCCTGTAAAAACAAGGCGCTCTGATTCAACTTGCTGGATGGATCAATCTCACAAGCAGGGGTTAAACTGGAGGAAACTTGGAAGAGTAAAAGAAGAGAACTAAATACTGCACTGCAGTAACACTGACGTGGTGGTGGTGTGTTAGTGTGTGTTGTGCTGGTATGAGTGGATCAGACACAGCAGTGCTGCTGGAGTTTTTAAACACCTGAGTGTCACTGCTGGACTGAGAATAGTCCACCGACCAAAAATATCCAGCCAACAGCGTCCTGTGGGCAGCGTCCTGTGACCACTGATGAAGGACTAGAGGATGACCAACACAAACTGTGCAGCAGCAGATGAGCTATCGTCTCTGACTTTACATCTACAAGGTGGACTGACAAGGTAGGAGTGTCTAATAGAGTGGACAGTGAGTGGACACAGTGTTTAAAAACTCCAGCAACACTGCTGTGTCCACTCGTGTATCTACTCGTACCAGCACAACACACACTAACACACCACCACCACGTCAGTGTTACTGCAGTGCTGAGAATGACCCACCACCCAAATAGTACCTGCTCTGTGAGGGTCCATGGGGGTCCTGACCACTGAAGAACAGGGTAAAAGGGGGCTAACAAAGTATCAGAGAAACAGATGGACTACAGTCTGTAACTGTAGAACTACAAAGTGCACCTATATAGTAAGTGGAGCTGATAAAATGGACAATGAGTGTAGAAACAAGGAGGTGGTCAGAATGTTATGCCTGATCGGTGTGTGTGTGTGTGTGTGTGTGTATAAATATATATATATATATATGTGTGTGAATATATATGTATATTTATGGCATTTAACAGACATTTCCAGTGCTTTGTTGTTCACTCAGAGAAGGCTGTATGATTTATTTATTACTATAATTCACAATTTCCTTCAACTACCTTCCAAATATACTCCTTGATCACAGGCTAAAGAAATTTCTCCACATCAGCTCAATCCAACACGAACAAAGGTGTACTTTCCTTTGCAGGTTCTCTGCTGGAAAGGACCATTAGAATCATTAGAATTAAAACCTGATGGTTTAGCTTTCAATAGGGAATTAGCTTAATGGTTACAATTACAGAGCACTAATGTCTTGTAGGAAACCTTTAGGTACGATTAAGGGACCACAAAATGTGTCGAAATTATTGGATACCAGATTTTTTCAGCAGACTTGATTAATACACTGTATGAAGTGCAGCATTAAACGTTTGCAGTCTTGAGGCAAAAGTGAAAGGTTACTATAAGCAACCATGAGAAACTAAAGGGCAGATCCAGGAAATTACACACTGACACACACCAACTCATATTATAAGCTTTGGTCAGACATAATCCTTCATAAATACGTTTATATTTTGTGAATTGTTTGGGAATAAATGCACACATGATCAAAAGTCATCATTTCTCAAAACTTACTTTTTGAATGTTTGTTTCATTTTTAGCAGTCTAAGAATAGCTCAAGATTCTGTTTTTCAGAATGTCTTATGCTCAGATTATTTTTGAGTTGTAAAACTGGGTCCCACCAGTGTCTCTAATACCTGTGCAGTTGCATATTAACAATACATGTGATGACAATGTAACTGCTGGTGATGTATTCACTGTTAAAGATGCATTACAGTAGTACTGCTTCTGTAATCACATGAGTGTATCTTGCTAGTTATAACAGCATATTTTCCCTTATATACATACCCATGTGTAATAGGTTGAGTGTCATTACATTTGTATGAAATGCTGTTTTACATTACATACATTATGAGATCAATGCATCTGCACTGGAAATGCCAGCTTTCCTGACATTTAACTAGCTGTAGAGTTGTGCTAGTGCTGTGACGGTGACCTGACCAAAGTTCTGGCTTTTTACTCATTTTTACTGTGATAGTATTTACACACCAAAAGCTCATATCTCTAAATGTAACTTGGCACTTATATATGTGTACACCATATGCATAAGTGCCACAAGGTCTTATGAAGCTCTAGAAAAAAGAAGCCTACACTTGCTTTTTCCATGGTCTTCAGATGCAGTTTTGTGGGACCTATAGGGGGCACTAGAAGGTTCATTCTTCACCCTGCTGCAGGGTATTCTGCTGGATTCCACAGGTGGGAAATGAAGATACTGCTTTATCATTGCCTTTGGCTGCTGGAACTGAAGATTACATTAACTGCGAAGGCTGCCGAACAGATGGAAACCAGAGAAAATCGATGTGATTTTAAAGAGTCTCTGTAGTCTAGTTTTACTTGGACCATTGAAATGTAGTCATGAATTGCAGATTCCAAATCTCTCTTTGACAAATGATTGACTTGTGGCAATTATTTAAATAAAACGTGCGCAGTGGGGTTGCTTGCATCCCCATGGGATCCTAAGGGTTAATACAGATCTGTAAACAGCATCACATTACAGAATGTTTTAAAGCCAGAACGTTGGTTAGGTTTCTACATCACAACACAAGAAAATTGAGTTTTCTGTGCAGATACAGTGTAAATAACCTCATAATGTGAGTAATTACACATCTTATAAAACTGTAATTCACACATATATAAATACATTTAATCTTTTTACACATATGGAATTACATAAGAACTACGTTGTCAAAACTATCAAGATAAACTTGTGTAATTATACAAACTGTACTACTGTAACCCATCTGTAACAGTGAATACATCACAGGTAGTTCCATTGTTGTTGCATATGTTGTTAATGTGTAACTACACAGTTATTAATAGGCTCTTACTATAAAGACGGGCCTACAACTGTAAAGTCCTGGCAAGAAAAACACTTTTCAGGAGAACAGAATTAAGTTTCTTCCTTCAGTTTTGTTCTAATGAGGTTAGAAACAGAGCCTCCCAGCAGGAAAGTCCCCTCTTTCATTTGATGTTTATTAAATCATTGTTCCTGCGCTCTGCGGCTCAGACGGCCCTTTGATTGACAGAAACCATCTCTCACACATTTACCTCTGACAGTTTTTTTTCCGAACATGCATGAATAATCACAGACAAAGCTCTTCCCGTATGACTCAGACTCCACTATCCAATATCTAACTATTTCCCTGTTGGCCGTCACAGAATGAACTTAAAGTTTAGTCTTGCTTGGTCGAGTGTCAGCAGTGCGTGAAAGTGTCCCCACTGACTTACCGTAACCTTTACACTCAGTGAGCTCAGGACGCTGGATGCCAGGAGAAGAGAAAGCGTCAACAGTCTCATCTTTCAGCCTCGGCAGACGTAGCTAGAGTTAGAGACGTAAAAGGAGCAGAAAGTGTTCGGAGGTGTGCCTCAGGGCTCCAGATAAAGGCCCCCTTTCGATTCATTTACTAAGTAACCTATTGAGCAGCGGAAAGTATCAGGGGTTTGTGCTGATAACAAAAGAGGATCTGATTATTACCCAATAACTTCTGCTTTTCTGACCAAACATGAAGCCCTGTGAACCTGTTCTTTACATGTGAGTCTCATAAACGCCTCATAAATTGCTGCAACACCTTATCATCATATAGCGCAGATAAGGTCTCAGCTAACAGGCGTCGCACACAGGATGAGTTTTCCCATGTAAGGGATTGGAGGAGCACTTCCGATGACTTACAGTAGCATTAGAGGCTTTGACAGGTCGACTAGAGAATGTTATGCAACACATCAGAAACATCAATACTGTACTTCATCAGAGTCAGAGAGTGAAATAATAACAAAACAAAAAAAACAAAATAAATAAGTAAATAAATAAATAAACCCCCTAATCTGTCCAAACAACATGAAAATTTGCATCAACACTAATAGTTTGGGCTCAGCCATAACATTGTGTAAGGTTAGGCATTATTTTCTTGAGGTCAGTTTGACCCCATTCGATGTTCAATGTCTCTACATAAATGATTGATCTTTTCTTTTGCTTTGCATATTTAACTTTTCCTAATTGAATTTAATTTAATTTAGTTTAACATGATGATATGTTTTCAGTGTCCTGAACATATTTTGTACACATCAGTGTTCTTTGGTGTCAGTTTGGCCCAAAGCTGTTTTAGCTGTATAAAACATAAGAAATATCAATATTTTTACACACATTTGTTTTAGTTGTTTTGGATGATACTGAGGTCATTCTAACATGCAATTTTATAATTTTCAATAAAACCGTCCTCTGCTTCAGGGCCCTGACCTAACATAACCGTAACTGTGGTATTGCGAGAATCACTAATAGTTCACAGCCAGCAAATACTGGTTTTTGGCCTTGTCCTTTACATACAGAGATTTCTCCAGATTCTCTGAGTCTTTTAATGATATTCTGTACCGTAGATGATGAAAAGCTAAAGTTTTTGCAATTTTATGTGAGAAATGTTTTTCTTGAATTGTTGCTCTATTTGATGGTGCAGTCTTTCACTGAGTGGTGAACCCTCCTCATCTTTACTTCTGAAAGACTCCGCCTCTCTGAGATACTCTTTTATACCCAATCATGTTACTGACCTGTTGCCAATCAACCACCAGGTGTTCTTTTAGCATTACACAACTTTACCAGCCTTTTGTTGCCCCGTCCCGACTTTTTTAGAACATGTTGTTGGCATCAAATTCAAAATGGGCAAATATTTTTCAAAACACAATAAAATTTCTCAGTTTCAACATTTGATTTGTTGTCTTTATACTATTTTCAATTAACTATAGGGTTTAAATGCTTTATACATCATTACATTTTGTTTTTATTTACATTTTGCACAGCGTCCCAACTTTTTTGGAAATGAGATTGAATTTCATTTAGACAGTTTTGGACTATCTACTAGTTCATTCATCTTTGGGGTTTTTACACAATGTAAGGGTGTAAATTTTTAATAATATTTTACTGTTACAAAAGTGCTACTACTACTACTAATATGACTATATTAAATTATTATATACTGTTATAATATGGTGAATTTAATTAGCACAAACCCAAGGATGAATTACTATATCTACATCACACTGTATGTATATATTATAAACACGCATATGACTTGTTGTAACTTGGTACTGTTGAAAGCTGTGTTTGCTAGTCGTGTACTGGGTAACGATTTTGAGTCATTCTCAAAACAGTCACTACTGAAACATTTATGTAATTTAAGTTTGTTATAATTGTTAGTTGTTAGTGATTTGCTTTAATAAAATAAACATACTTGCCCCCTCTGGTGGTCGTCGAACATGCCAGTGTATCAAATTAGATGTCTGTATTAATATCTTTGTGATGATACTGTAGAGATACAGTTCCTGAACCTGTAGAGTCGCCCTTTCCATCCCATCACATGGTGAGATCCTATGAGACTCGTCATCTGCCTCTCACTGTGTGTAACTGGTGGATTCACGTGTCCGTCATCTGCCTCTCACCTGTAATTGGTGGATTTGTGTGTCTGTCCATATTTTGCATGAAACTGACCAATGGACACTCAGGAAATCACTTGACTGACCATCACATCGATAACACTTCATTTTTCATTCAGGTGGCCTGGACACAGATGTGAAATAGTGTGTAAAAAGTTTGCAGCTGCTGAAGTTGCTGCAGTGGTTTTGGAAAATAACGATGTGGAGAACATTTATTAACTATTTTATTCATACTTTTCACTACGTTTATGAACCTAAAACTTTAATAAGCCCATTTCAAGCACCAAAACAATTCGACCACATGAGTAACGCTGTTTTCACAAGACATATTAAGAATCTCTAAAACTGGATTTCATTTGTTTTCGAGCCCAGTCACCCCTTTACACTGTGCTGCAGGTCAAAAGGGCCTCTTTATAGAGAGCTGAGACTTTTATCAACATTTTAAGATGTAATGTGTGGGTATCATCATGTTGTATGGAAGTGCCTTTAAGAATATATGCAAAAATCAAGAACAAGTCCTCAGAGCCCAGAGGGTAAAGCTACAGGATCATTCAACGCAAAGGGATTTCAGTCTAAAGTCCAAGTCAGCTAAAAGTCTGAAATGGGTTTGTTTTCTAGGTTGGTAAAATTATCCATATCTATCCTTATCTATTCTAGGAAAAGCTGAGAGAACTTCCTGCCTTGCACAGTTAGTGAGGCACCACTTATTAGACATTGTAGGATAAAATGAAATTCAAAACCATTGTTCTTACAAAACAGTTGTTTACTATAATTTTATTTTGAGGAATTTTGAAATAAAATTTTTAAATTTGCAATAATATATTTGTGTTTTTTGCATTTAGTTTGGAACAAAGTTTTTCTACCTCATGTTGCAAACAAAGTTTATCCAAAATAATTTATACTTTTGGAAATAATAATTTTATTTATGGAAATAATTTATGTATTACAAAGACGGCATCAATTTAAAATATTTAAAATACATTTTTATAATTGTTGATATATATTATAGGTGCTTTGCACATCATGTCATTATCCATTGAAAAGGCATTATAATGAACAGTGACACTTGTGTTACTACATATTAATGTCACCAAAGAATAAACTGGTTCACTTTTAGAGCTTTATGAAGCATTATTAAAGTTCATAAATACGTTTACAAAGCAGTGTTACAAATTTAGTTATAAGGAGAATTTAGTCATACAGTTATAAAGAGATAAACAAACATTTATAATCATAATTACAGACTTCATAGAAAGTGTTAGCAAATTTTAAGTTGCAATTTGAAAGAAGGAAAGAAAGAAATATCACAAACTTTAGGAAGTGAGTTAAATAATAATACAGAGCACATCTGAGGAACATCACAGATGCTAGACCCCCTGCACTTTGCATGCCGGTCAAACAGGTCACTCCACCCTATTCTCCAGCTTGAACATCTAAAAACCTCTGCAGGAATTCTGTTCTTGGACTTCAGTTCAGCCTCTAATACGATCATCCCAGGACAGCTACACAACAACCTGCTCCAACTCAGCATGCCAACCCCACCTGCCAGGGGATCACCAGCTTCCTCACTGGCAGAGAGCAGCAGGTGAGGTTGGGAAACACCCAGATCATCAGTACAGGAGCTCCACAGGGCTGTGTTCTCTCCCCTCTGCTCTTCTCACTGTACACTAACGACTGTACCTCCACGGACCCCTCAGTCAAAAGACCAGAAATGACTTGATTTGAAAATGACAGTAATGTTGCACAACACCCGAGACGTTTTAGTGTCTCTGTTTAAATAACATTTTGTTGATTTTCTAAGTGAAAGTATTTCAACACTTCCTCTACATAGACCACCCCTCTGAACACTGCAATGCACAGACACTGTTTATTTACCAAATTCAACATATTAAAAAAATGAAACAAAAAATTTGGCCTGTGTAAAAGTTACTCCACATTTTGTATTTTATGTTTAATTTTTTCCAATATGTTAAACTCAGCAAAGAAGTAGAAATTCTGCAGAAAAACGCCACATTTAGAAGTGCTCCCTGGAGATGATGTGTTAATCTATTTTCACTTAGAAAATCAACAAAATAAAAGTCATTTGAACAGAGGTGCTCAAACTGTGCACACAACTGAATGTGAGTAAGGAAAGTAGTCGTTTTCCTCCGTCCCACTTCAGTCAGACTGAGTTCACATTGAATGGGTCATTCTGTTTTCTGTTGGACCAAAAGCATCCCAAAAAGAAAAGAACAGCTACCTGTAGAACGGGACTAAGAAGATTCCCTGTAGGAAACCCAGCAGTCCAGCTTCCCAGCTTTGGATAAGAAGCAGCTAACATGCGAGTCATTCCATTATTTTCATGATAAATGGTAATTACAGCTGTTTCTTTATGTTGCTGAGTGAAACACCCCCTTTCATCCCTCTGTCCACCTTTTGTGGCCTCTGGTCACTCCACAGGTGGAGGTTAATGAATGTAGACACAGAAAACAACTAACAATGCACTGACACGTACAGGATTAACAGAATGCCTGCATTTATGTAGCATTTCTGAACTACTTGGCAACCCTGTGAACATACTTAAAAGCCTGCCTCAGGTTGCTGGTGAACCGTGACCTTACTTCACCTCTCATCTTCTCCCATTTCTTAAACAAGCAAATGAAATACGACAAAACAGAGTTGTTGCTATTCTTTTTTATTTTTTAATAAAAATTCAAAATATTTCTGTAGTTTATCATTTATCAACAAGGAGAGCTGTAACCTTTTGGGGGCCTAGCAGGATATTTTTGGGATCCCCCAGCTTTCAAACTAATAAAACCGTCTAAATTATGCAAATTTATTACTGGCTAATTGTGCATTGATGATTGGCTGCTTGCTTGGGGTTTTAATAAGCCACAGTTTACATTACAGGTCGCTTTCTCAGCATTCCTGATCCAGAGCTCTGACTCTGTCTCAACTCAGTATTTCTTGTTTACTCAGCTAATTTCAGGCTTGTTTTAATCCACCCCTGGCGGCGGTGGAGACAGTGCTGTTCATTTGGCTGTTAAAAATACTTTATTTTCTACACATTCAGTTTGATTTCTTTGTACTTTTTCCTTTG